AAACTGCAAACATACACACACTCACCCAAACAAGAACTGCTGCTGCTGCTGCTGCTGCTGCTGCTGCCCGTGGGGCCGCTGGAGCCGCATGCATCGCACGTGTGCATCTCTACTAAGTTAGATAAATAAATAAAATATATAAAATATATTTTATTTATTTATTTATTTATCTTCAGGATCATCAAATTAAATAAACGAAAAGCCCAGCCACTCCTCTCCCACCGAGACGCTCCCGCGATTCCCTACCCGCACCAGAAGCAGCAGCAGCAGCAGCAGCAGCAGCAGCAGCAGCAGCAGCAGCAGCCGCAGCACCTCCGCCGCTACCCTTCGAGGCAGCGGCGGAGAGGTGCAGCAACTACAGCAGCTGCAGCCGCTGCCGCCCAAGCTGCAGCAGCAGCAGCAGTAGCAGCAATAACTGCAGCTGCCGCCGCAGCAGCTGCAGCAGCAACAGCTGCAGCTGCCGCCGCAGCAGCTGCAGAAGCAATAGCTGCAGCTGCCGCCGCAGCAGCTGCAGCAGCAGCAGCTGCAGCAGCAGCAGCTGCTGCTACAGCAACTTCCGCAGCTGCGAGGCTACTGCAGCAACAGGAGCCTCCGCAGCTGCGAAGCCACTGCAGCTGCAGCCCCTGTTGCTGCAGCAGCCGCTGCAGCAGCCGCTGCAGCAACAGCTGCAACTCCTGCAGCCGCTGCCGCAGTTACTGCAGCAGCTGCTGCACCGATGGGTGCTGCGCCTGTTGCAGCAGCCGCAGCAGCTGCAGCAGCTGCAGCAGCAATAGCTGCAGCAGCAGCAGCAATAGCTGCAGCAGTTGCTACTGCTGCGGCCGCAGTCGCAGCTGCTGCAGCAGCCGCTGCAGTCGCGGCCGCGGGTGCTGCACTTGCTGCAGCAGCTGCTGCAGCCACAGCAGCCGCAGGTGCAGCAGCTGCTGCGGCCACAGTAGCCACAGATGCTGAAGCAGCAACTGCTGCAGCTGCAGGATCCGCTGCTGCTGCATCTGCAGCAGCAGCTGCAGCCACAGCAGCCGCAGGTGCTGCAGCAGCTGCTGCAGCCACAGCAGCCGCAGGTGCAGTACTACGTGCTGCAGTAGCAACTGCTGCAGCTACAGGCTCAGCTGCAGCAGCTGCTGCCGCAGGTGCTGCAGCAGCTGCAGCTGCCGCAACTGCTGCAGCGGCAGCTGCTGCCGCAGGTGCTGTAGCAGCTGCAGCTGCCGCAACTGCTGCAGCAGCAGCAGCTGCCGCAACTGCTGCAGCAGCAGCAGCTGCCGCAACTGCTGCAGCAGCAGCTGCTGCCGCAGGTGCTGTAGCAGCTGCAGCAGGTGCTGCAGGTGCTGCAGCAGCAGCTGCAGCAGCTGCAGGTTCCGCCGCTGCTGCTGCGCGTCGGTGGGAGCACTAGGAAAAGTGTGGGGCTTTGTGACGGCTTGCATGCGCAGCAGCAGCAGAGTGGAAACCATTTGCATGCAAACAAAAGTGGATTTGCATGCAAGTGGAAAAAGGGGCATTTTCAGGAAAATAAACATTTAAATGAAGTACAAAACAACAAAATACAAACAACAAACATTTATATTTATTTTAAATGCCAAACACTTTTTATTTATTTGCAAAATGCATTTTATAATGCATCTGCAGATACACCCCACACTGCATGCGCCCAGCCACGCACTGTACGTACACCGCAGCACACTAATACGCGCCCCGACAAAACTTCCACACACGACATTTGCATGCATGCATGCATCTGCATGCATGCATGCATGCATGCAAATGCATGCAAATGCATGCATGCAGATGCATTGTATGCATGCATTTGCATGCATGCATGCATTTGCATGCATGCATTTGCATGCATTTACATGGCTTTGCATGCAGACATTTGTATGCATTTGCGTGCACTTGCATGCATGCACTTGCATGCATGCACTTGCATGCATTTGCAAGTCGGGTGTATCGACAGAGAAGGCCCTGGCAGCTGAAGCGGGAGAGGAGGGCTTGGGGTGTCTGTACACCCCGTGGGCCCTCGCGCTAGGGTTTACTAGGGTATGCCATTATTAATTATTAGGGTTTACAAAACCCTTAGGGTTTGCCATTATTAATTATTAGGGTTTATAAAACCTTTAGGGTTTGCCATTATTAATTATTGGGGTTTACAAGACCCTTAGGGTTTGCCATTACTAAATATTAGGGTTTACAAAACCCTCAATTAATCCCATTGATAAGGGTTTGCCAGTATTAGTTATTAGGGTTTATTACGATTTATAAGGGTTTGCCACTGTTATTAGGGTTTACAAAACCCTAAGGGTCTAGAATTGCCCGCTAGGGTTTGCTAGGGTTTATCAGCTTCCACTAGGGTTTGCTAGGGTTTAGCAGCTTCTGCTAGGGTTTGCTAGGGTTTATCAGCCCTTAAACCCTCAGAAATAAACACAGACTGCAGCAAATCCCTAATTGAGGGTTTCTGCGCTCCAGGCTCATAGGGTTTATCTAAACCCTAATTTAGGGTTTATGTGACCCACCACTCCTCTACCTCTCTGAGTCTAGGGTTTAGGGTTTCCAACCTCTAATGCAAACACTTCTTTAATATTATCACAAGCCGTAGATGCACCCCGTCTACCTCAACAACAACCTACACTTTAGGGTTTAGGGTTTAGGGGTTTAGGGTTTAGGGTTTCTGACGCGAAGAAGAAACACTTCTTCCTTAATATTATCACAAGCTTTAAGATCCAAACTCCCCACCTCTTCTTCACAAAAGCCCCTATCTACTGTTTACAAATTAGTGTTTACTAACTAGGGTTTAGGGTTTAGGGTTTAGGGTTTAGCGGTGTTCAGGGTCTATCTCAGCACTTTTCAAATCATTTTTTAATATTATGCCAAACTCAAATTCCAAACTCCTGACATTAATATGAACAGGCTCTTCTTTGCAAAAACCCTAATCTAGTGTTTACAATTAGGGTTTAGGGTTTAGGGTCTAACTCCACGGTTTTGAAGTTAGGGTTTAGGGTTTAGGGTCTAACTCCACGGTTTTGAAGCGCTTTTTGGTGGTTTTAAAAGGGTTTAAATCTAACATGAAGCACAAAGACTTCTTGCTTGATATTATGGCAGGTTTTGAGGTCCAAACTGCCGAAATTAACGTGAAGGGGCTTTTCTTTGCAAAACCCTAATTTAGTGTTTCCGAGCTAGGGTTTAGGGTGTAACTACACGGTTTTGAAGCGGTTTTCGGTGGTTTTAAAAGCAAATAAATCAATTAAATCTAACCTGAAGAACAAAGACTTCTTGCTTGATATTATGACACGCCTTGAGGTCCAAACTGCCGACATTAATGTGCACCGGCTCCTCCTTGCAGAGGTCCCTGGCGAGGGTTTGGACCTCCTTGGGCCAAGTCGCGGACCACATGAGGGTTTGGCGGTCGGGGCGGATCTGCGAAACGATCTTTCGGATTTGCGGCTCGAAGCCCATATCGAGCATTCTATCAGCTTCGTCTAAAACGAGATAAGTAACTCTTTTCAAGTTCGTGACAGAACTTTCCAAAAAATCAATAAGTCTTCCCGGACAGGCAATGCAGATCTCCGCGCCCCGCTGCAGCTCCTGCACTTGCAGCCGCTTCGGCACGCCGCCGTACGCCGCTGCGCGCAAACCCTCTTTTAGGGTTTCACTCGCTCTTTTAGGGTTTCTACACGCTCTTTTAGGGTTTCCACACGCTCTTTTAGGGTTTCTACACGCTCTTTTAGGGTTTCTACACGCTCTTTTAGGGTTTCCACTGGCAAGCCGCGCATGCGCGCCTTCGGGGCTTTAAAACGCTCTTTTCGGGCTTAGAGTCGCTGCTTTAGGGTTTATATACGCTGATTTAGGGTTTATATACGCTGATTTAGGGTTTGCGGCCGGGGGGGGTTTTGGGGTGTTGAAAAGACGCTCGAGCATATTTTAAAAACACAATTGACTTTCATTCAACAGATTCATTTAAACGGAATTAAAAACATTAAATTAAATTAAAATATATTTAATTAAAATATATTTAATTTAATTAAAATATATTTAATTAAAATATATTTAATTAAAAGATAAAAAGTCACCTGCGTGGTTGATTTTCGAGGGAGAAGCAAAAAGTCTGCACTGGGCCCTTATTTGCTCCACCAGCTCTCGAGTGGGAGCCAAAATCAAAGCTATTGGCCCGTCCCCAGCTCTGCAGCAGCAGCAGCAGCAGCAGCAGCAGCAGGTGCAGCAGCAGCAGGTGCAGCAGCAGCAGGTGCAGCAGCAGCAGGTGCAGCAGCAGCAGCAGATGTGTGGGTGAGCCGCAGCAGCAGCGGGAAGAAGAGCAGCAGGGAAGAAGGGGCAAAGCAAGAAGCGCTCCCTCGCTGCAGCAGCAGCAGCAACTGCTGCTGCAGCAGCAGCAGCAACTGCTGCAGCAGCAGCAGCAGCAGCAGCAGGAGACTGACCTCAAGTAGGGCTGCGCATTAATGTGGACAATTCCCGGCAGCAAAAAAGCCAAAGTCTTTCCTGAGCCTGTCTCCGCAATTCCAATCATGTCTCTTCCCGAAAGCGCAATGGGCCATCCTTGCAGCTGCAGCAGCAGCAGCAGCACATGCAGCAGCACAAGATGCAGCAGCAGCAGCACATGCAGCAGCAGAAGATGCAGCAGAAGCAGCAGATGCAGCAGCAACACATGCACCAGCAGCAGCAGCACCCGCCACTCCGTGGCAGATATTCGGCGATCCCTGCACCGCCTCCCAAATGCATGCATGCACCCATGCATGCATGCATGCACGCATGCATGCACGCATGCATGCACGCATGCATGCGTTTTGCATGCGTTTTGCATGCGTTTTGCATGCAGCCCCACCTGAATGGGGGTGGGTTTTTGGAAGCCAGCAGCAGCAATGGCGTCGAGGAGGTAAGAAGGAAAAGAAGTGTGTTCGAAAGTGGGGCAGGGCTTCGGCACATTAACCCCTGCAGCACAGCAGCAGCAGCAGCAGCAGCAGCAACACCCTCAGCAGCAGCAGCAGCAGCAACACCCTCAGCAGCAGCAGCAGCAGCTGCTGCTGCTGCTGCTGCCCAAACAAACCCCCACCCCCGCCGGCGCGGGCGCCCCGCC